TACGGTGGAAAGACGCACAGGACATCACTCTCCTCTTCCATCTAATGTAGATCTAAAATGTTGCAGAGCCAATGCATGGCTCTTGAAGTAGATGCGCTCAAGAAGCATGTAGGCATTCTTCCCTAGCAGAACTTTCAAGTTGTTTCAGTTTCGTTATTATACCCAAGTTTCAATTCAAAGAAATGGTAACCCAAAAGGGCTATTAATCTCAAAACGGCATTTGGTAACGCTTCACTATAAACGGCGAATCACTTTTTTTAATTGTCACCACCAAATATTATCGCCCTGTATTAAATTTAAAGAAATTAAATACTGAAGAATCTTCATGAATGTATGTTTCTCGCACTCTGAAAAAACACGGCACTACGTAGAGTTATCAAATTTTGAATAACGTAATCCTCCATCCAAACGTGGGCACCTGGACGCCCGAATTTTGAATTTCGAATTTGTTTTATTATCTATTTCATATTTTGTAATCCTTTAACGAATTTTTGATTAACAAACTCAACAATTTCAAAGCAAGCAATGGCAACACTGTACGGAAAAACATTTTTATCTCAAACACACGAGACTATCTATCGAAAACTCTAAACCAGAGATTCTCGAACTTTTCTAATTTTGTACTACGTAAAGAGGAATAAAAAAATATATATACTATCATAAATGTTGTATGATCTTAAATTCACTTCTTTCAGATTTTTTTTTTTTCTTTTTACTACTTTTTTTCTGTACAGAAGTAATACTTTAAATATATCGAAGACAGGCGTTGAAACATACTAGAAGAAGAAACTTGCAGATGTGGTCGGATTTAAGTATTTCTTTTCATTTCTAGTTATCCGAACATTTTAATAAGTCAACATAGATAAACTGCCCGCATTAAATGTTGTTGTTCCAGAGCTTTTATATTTCTGAAGTCTTTGCCGTTAGAAGAGAGGCACTGGCAAAGTGGCTAACTTGCTAAGAAAAGCGGAAAGCAAATGCAATGCGCGTCCGAGACCAACTCTTAGTTCAAAGTGATTGAGTTTCAATTTCCATACCTTTTGAAAGTAATATTTCTTTAAAATTGCTACTAGCTGCTTGAGTTTCAATTCGCAAAACTATCTGCGTCACTAGTGTTATGTAAAAGCCATATGACGGCTATTAATTTTTAAATGATGCAGTTTAAAGAGGTTTATTATAAGTAGTTACATTTTTAGAACAGAAAAGGATAACAGACAAATTAAAAAGGAGATCTTTAGGGATTATTGTAAATTTTAGGGATTTTTGCTTTTATAGTTAATATTTTGCTTTATATTTGTTTTATATTACATACATAGTTTACTAAAAAGATTATAGAATATATTTTTTGTTATACATTATATGAAGCAGATGCATTATTTAAAGGAAAAAGAACTGATTTAAGAAATGAATGCATAATTTTCAAATCGTTTAATTTTTAAAATATTTAGTGCCTTAATTTGACATATAAATTAATATTCTTAAGCTGTGTAGAAATGTAACGACTCTGAAAACTACCAAATCGTCAGGCCGATTAAATGAGTGTACACGCGTTACGTTGCGGTACTCTAACGTAACGAGTAAAATAGTAATAATATTCTATGGGCTGTTTCTGGAAAAAAAAATTAAAAGCAAATACATGAAAGAATTCTGAATCCGCCGAAATCAGAATATCATCAAACAAACGGTTACAATAAATAATAATACAGGAATTCAGTACATTTGATACATATGGATATTTCTTCGATATTTTTAGTTATATTTCTGTATATAGCAATCACTGGTTTCTCCCCTCACGCCTTGCCCTTTCTTTTTATGGATGCTCTGTTAAAAAAATACGTTTTTGTTTATTTTGTTTATTTGTTTATTTATTACTAAAAACCTCGGTTAAATATTCCTCACAAATAATTTCATGATCTCACACATGAGCACTCCATGTGATTACGAACTCGATGCTAAAATTTCACATTAATTTTATTGTTCTTAAGTCAGAATACAAGTGTGTGATTTTTTTTTAAAGTTATATAAAAGTTCCTTTTAAATAAAACTTTCTCCTCATTTCGAATAAATATTTTTGCTTCATAGGAAACTCTAAATCAGAAGTTTGACACAATTTGTACATTAATACCCCAAAATCGTTTTATATTTTAAGAAAAGGAAAATAGTTTAGCTTAAACGTAACCCCATCCATGCATCTTATATACCCTTGATACCTTTATTTTTACACTTCCCTTGATTCCGCCATTTTATCCTTTTTGTTTATTCACAAAAAATTTTTTAATTCATTTACTGGTTAAAAATGCGCTGTAAAAAGTAATTATATTTCCTTACATTTCAAAGCAGTATTTCTTTTTATAGCTACAATAAATTACCAGATTCTTAGATAGCATTAAAAAGCACTGGTACCTTGGCATGCAATGTGCATTCCATTTATCACGAACTTTAATATAATGCAGTGCATTTCATAAAACTATAAATTATGAGTAATTTGGGATTGCACCTGCACGGATTCACACTATAACTGATATGTCACTGTTTTACAGCAACATATCTGAAGGAGAATGTTTTAAAAGAATTTCTGAACAGCTTGTTGCTAGTTGCATAAGACCACGGGACCACATGAGAATGACAGACATTATTGACTAACAAAGCAGACATCAATAACTGCAGAATCGCACCTGCGTTTGAGAGCAAACGTAAAGAATATAAAAATTAATGGCCTATTCTTAAGACAAATCACAGAGACCTTCGAATTTGTGTGTGCCGCTGTGTGCGTGAGGTTAATAAAGCAATGAAAATTCAAGACGAGGTATTTTTATAAATAATTTTCTGCTTCAGAGGCTTTTAATGGCGTTTTAATTTAATGCAGTTCAAAGCTTAAGTGCAGATTTTCATCTATGAATGTCGAGATTAAAAATATCTGTCGCAAACTATGAAGTAAATTTTTAGTGTAAGGTAGGTTATTTCGTTATTAATTCTATAACGATTGTGATATATAAAATACAGTAAAAGACGTGGTTAAGATATATATATATCTAAATCCTTGCAAACATTTTGAATGTATTTAGCAGGCCTTTATTGTCATATCCGATATACGATAAATTACTTATGTCTGCAATACTTATATTTCAGAAAACTAATACCCTGTTGAGAGGAAGAACTGATTAATTTTTAGCATCACATAAAGTTAAAAACGTCTCAATTTTTCTGACATCATAACTATTTTACGCGTTACAAATTAAGAAATATTTTTTTCAGCCATTAGCTAAGTGGGTGCTCAAAATTTTGTTGTTGTTTTCCTAATCCTCCTAATCTGAACCGATAGCCAAATCAGCTTCATGAATTTTATCCTGGCAAGGGTTTCTCCTGTCATTGGCTTAGGCGCTGGTCACATTCTAGGTAATGGTAACAGTACAACCAGCTTTTTACAGTTTTGAAAGGAATTCCCCAGAGGAACAGCTCGGATAGCCTCACATCCTTCTTCCGTTACCACTAACGTCTTCAGAGAATTTTTAGATTGACTGTGTTTGAAATTCCATCATATTACAAAGATACTATACATTTAACAAATATGCATGCATTCTCCAGGATTCGAGCTGGAGTTCAGGATATGGACGCTGCTCCTCTACCACCATTCCAATAGGGGAGAGGTTTCTTAAGCGTTTTTCAATCGGGACCCCTTTTTATCAATGAGATTTATAATTGAAGCTTAAACATCTACCTCATCTATCCTAAACTACTGGTGTAATTTCAACAAAAGACAAATTCAGCGACTTGTAGCACAACGCTGAAAGACGCAGCAACGAAGAGCACAACGCTGAAAGACGCAGCAACGAAGAAGTTTTAACACGCAGAGTGATGTTGCCTATACATTTGCTTAAATTTGCATTCTCGTCAGCTATTTAAACTCACTCAATTTATATATTCTAATAGAAATTATGAAGCAATGGAAGAACAGATGAGATTCAAAATAAGAAATAACGTGCTGTTTAAAATAAAACTTTCACCTGTATTCAACGGGCTGAAAAGCTGATGCAACGGCTGCGCCGCACCGGTCGGATTAGGAAGAAGTGTTTACAACACTTAAATAAACCAAATGTCTTTCCATTCCAAAAATAGCAATTGCGTCATTTCTAGACTAATCACATGACTTCTCCATAACGCTGGTGACGTATGTGGAACTAAAAAAACTCTGACAGCCAATAACATTTAGCAGTTTTTTAAGTACCTAATCAAATGGTATTGAAACCGAAACCAACCCAGTCTGAAATCAAGTTTCATTCTGAATATAATGCACATCACTTCCGCTTCTTGGCTTAGCTAGACTTCTCCTGCTCCGTGTTCTTCTTAACGCAAAAGTATAAAAAATGTAATTGTTCTGGGCACAATTAATGTACCAAGTTACTTGAGGTGATAACACATTTAACTACAATAAAAAATAATATTATTTAAATTCGGCTCGTTTGTAAGTCTATATTATTTTACTCAAGCATTTTCTGTCTATGATGCCACCAGCATGTACAAGTTATGCTAACAAGTCATCATTTTATCTACGCATTAAACCAACTAAAACCAATCTTACAGAATATAGAAATGGCGCGGTCCAGGGAAGTTAATACTTCTTTTAGAATAGAAAAGAAATACCCAAAAAAAAAAAAAAAAAAAAAGAAATACCAAATTAAAAATGAGGAATCAAGAGGCACACATAGAGGCATATATGAATATATGTATAAGCTCTATGAACTATGATCTATAAAATATCAAAGCAAGCTTCTAACTTTCATCTGACAACATTCACTTTTATTCCTGATTTTAATTTGACTACTTCCCCTTCATGGCCTAAATATGCAAACTGTCAAAATATATATGAATCTAAAGTGCTCCATTTCAAATTTAATTCACATCATACTGTCTTAAGTATCCAGTAGCAATGAGGAAATTTTTTCTGCAATTAAAGAAACATTTGACACTATATTTCAAGCTTTTTCTGAATGCTCTCTTACCTTCCCGCTTTGTCTCGCTGCTGCTAACATGTGTCGCTCTTCTCTCAGTGTCTTCCATTGTCTAAAGGTGTGATAAGCTACACAAAGCTGTGAGGTGCATATCGCACCCATAGTCATGTGTAAATGAGAGTATAGAATTAGTTGTTCAGCAATAAAATGTGTCTTCTGTTCGGCCGCGTTTGTCTGCATTGTCATCACTATCCCTATGCAATAAACTTCCATTAGAGTTCCATTACAATTAAATCTCTCTACCAAATCTATTATAGCTACGACCCAGTCTGAAGATATTACAATTTATGTTATATATCTGTAACGGAAAACGTTTCGGATAACGCTTTCAAAAGCAAGTAGGTTTAAAATATTATCAATAGTATAACTGAAAAACACACTTATCCGAAACAAATGTGAGCCACTCTAAATTGTATGAAACATACTGATGAAATTAAAGTTAGAGAAATATAAATAATATATTTATAAAACTTTAACATTAATATATTTATAAAACTTTAACATTAATATAAATAATATATTTATAAAACTTTATAAATATATTATAAAACTTTAACAATAAACATCGTGTGCTGTTTTCATTATATAACGAATTAAACAGAGCAAAAGATTATGAGATATATTTTCCTTCGATGTTCTTTAATTACATTACTTACCCCTTATGTAAGTCGTATGCTTTATGACTATAGAATGGAAGTTTTCTGGTTTTGTTTTACATATAGTTATTGATGCCTCTTTAAAGAAAATGCTTTGAAGAATTATACATACTTAAAACATGTTTATATATAATACAAATGTTTCTACTTAAAATGAGTTATTTCAGATATCGTAAGTATACACTTCTCAAATTAATTATGAAATTGTATTACAGGATTCACTTTTCAATAATATACAGTAAGATTCTTTAAAAATGAAGCGAGGATTTGAATTAAAAATTTCATCTTATGCTCAGACATTCATTTCTTGAATAACCTTTATAGAATTACTTAACAAAAGTCGAGACTAATAACCTGTTCATTCATTGCTCTCAAACATGTTAAAGGAATTTATTCCTGCATTATCAGTTTTCGTTGCGTTGGATTGACTGCATTGTGACAGCATGGAGACAGGGTAATCAGTTCTGCTTGATAAAGCTTAATTAATGATAGAATTTTGTTATGCAACGTTCACAGGAAACATCTAAAGGTAGCACTGTAATGATTGCCCTAAGGGGTAAGTAATGTAATTAAAGAACATCGAAGGAAAATATATCTCATAATCTTTTGCTCTGTTTAATTCGTTATATAATGAAAACAGCACACGATGTTTATTGTTAAAGTTTTATAAATATTTGCTAATTTAAAAAAATACAGCATTTAACGTCAATCAAATAATAATTGTTATTGTAACAACGCACTTGTGTCCTTGAGGTATGGGGATTTCTGATTTACTAATGTAATCAACCTTTGACAGTATCTTCGGAAACTCTCTCAAATTCTGAGATTCTGAAAATCTCACGAGAAAGGAACGTATATTGCATTATAACTATCAAAATATTATTACTTTTAAACTACAGAGAGATAGCTTCCAGTAGATGACTACTTCTGAATGTCCTACGCTCTTCTTAGAACATAAATATCGGTATTGAACATCATATCTACAGAATAGCTAAACCATTTGGAAAAGTGAGTGGTCTACTTAGGAAGATGCACGTTGGGAAAAAAATTACAGCATTTATTTCTAAACGAACTAGTAGCTCTTTCTTCTTATTAAAAGGTCCTTATATGGTTATACTCGTATGGTTTTCCTATTACTTTAAATTTAAAAAAAATCACCTCAAACAACTGTGAAGATTCTCAGACCATATATCATAGGATATTCCTACTAATTAAAAGTATTACTCCTATAAAAAAGGTTTATTAATGATATCTGTTTATTAACATGTCAACTTTTCCCTAACACAAAACTAAAAGAAAACAGAAGCGAAATTCCGCTACTACGCAAGTATTTATGAAATCAACACGCCCGGCTAAACCTTGGTTCACTCCTAATTGTTCGTGAAACAAAAGTTACGAGCCAAAGTTTAAATTTATAAGTGATAGTCTATCAGCAGTAAAGATTAGAAAAGTGAGTGTCATCCTATACTCCTCGCTGTGTCTGAAAGGGCAAGAATTTTGAATTTATTTATTCGTTAAGTAATTTGCGTTTTGTTTAGAGTTGACGTAAACAAAATTAAAAGTTAAACCAAAATAATAAGATAATTTGAAGAATTAAAATGAAGCCTTACAATGCTTGTTAAGTAGGTTTGTTTGGTTATAGGGTTAGAGTAAAACTGCTAGATGTGTGAAATTCCTTTCCATACTTCAGCAACACTTTCGTCTCGCTGTTGATTGAAGACAAGCAGATAATAACTTAAAAGCTATTGTGTAAGGGAATTGATATCAATTAACAGGAATGTATCTCTAACACAACTTGTCGCACCAACTATATTGCGTTTGTATATTGTAGGATTAATTTTCAATCAATCGGTCTCATATCGATCAATATTTTTCTAATTATTTCATTTTAAATATCGAATTATTCTCATGTAAAATGTAACTATGCTAAGTTATATTAAGCTGTATGGTGGAAAACAAAATCCTTTGAATTTAGAAATCCATTTGTCATATAGATACAGAGGATATAAGTTTTCCATTTTTAATTCTTGAGTTTTTTCTAAAGAACCTGGAATCTCAAAATATAAATAATACAAATTAATAGAATTTCTTAAGAATCGGGACCTTATATTTTCATTTAAATCTCGAGATTCTTCCACACTAGCTTCTAGGATAGGATTGTTAGGATTACTGCAAAGCATTCGAGGAGTATGATAGGGATGACTTCGTGGAGGATGTTTGAAGCAATCTAGCTATTAGGTCAAAATCAAGCATTATCCATTCAGAAAAGTTTAATTTTATTTTAATTATTAGTCCAAAGGGGCTTTGTCCCTAAAGAACTATTGTTTTCGTTTTGCGATTTTACGTTGAATCACTATGAACATCATTATTCTATCATTATTCTATATATTATTCTATATAACACTTTTCAAACTGTTGCCACCAAATATTAGAGTCCTGCATTATATTTGAAGAAATTAAATAATCGAAAATCTGCATAAATGTATGTATATTTCTCGCATTGTCCCATTGATAAAACAACGGTACATAAAGCCATCGAATTTTGAATGACGTAATCCTCCTAGGAATGTGGGCATGTGGAAGACAAAATTTGAAATTTGGAATTTATTTTATTATCGATTTCATATTTTGTAAAACTTTAACGAATTTTTTATTAACAAACTCAAAGATTTTAAAGCGAGCAATGGCAACACTCTACGAGGGGGGGGGAAACCTTTTTATCTCTAGCGCGCGGAACAGTGTATCGAAAATTCTAATGATAAGCTCATTTCAAAATTTTTTTGCGACATTGCTATTGAACTGAATTTTATGGTTTAAGTGCAAAGAACATGATATTTAATAAATAAAGGTAACACACAATACGTTAAAAAAGTTAAAAAAAAGTCCCTTTACATGTAATTTAAAAATCTAAAAACCTTGAACATTTTATTTTAAATTTCTTCCGAAGAAATAATTACTGTTTTGCTTCATCAGGCAGACAGTTGATTCTCTAATTAGCTTTCAGCTTGCATAATCCATTCAATGGTAAAAAATACGCCGCTTAAAGATACATATGCGGTATAGTTTGCTGCAGCATTTTAATGAAGTATAGTTTGTAAAAGTATTTTACATAATACAACGTTTTGCAAATACTGAACTTCTTACACATCGGAAGTTTGTGGAAGTAATCGGAAGTTAAGAAGTCATGTATACAGCCAGTGGGTCGGTTGATTTTTACTACCCGCTTTCATCAAGTTCCTACTTATGTGTCATGTGTAATAGGAATTCTTAAATCATTTCAGACTTATTATTGTGGGTTGGCATCGTTCATTTATAATCGGATGACGCGACAAGCTGTGAGAGGAAATCTTTCACTTTTTCGATGACGAAGGCAGGCGATTCCGCCATTAAGACGATGACGCGATTCAAAGATGTTTGCTTGTAAAATGCGATTCCTTCTCTTCGTTTGTAAATAATCTTATCTATTTCCTGCTATGTATGTAATTACTTTGTAGCAACTATTCATGCTTGATTAAATATTCAAGTTATTTGTAAATTGGACTAGTTTATTAGCCCCTAGACAGCCACATCGGAAGTAAGTTTACGAACATCATATTCCTAGACAGTAAGTACCGATTCTACATTATACTTATTACATTGAATATTGAGAAATAATAATTGCAAGAATGTCTATAAATTTTCAGTGCTTAATACTATATTCATCATTTAAATTTTAAAAGAACTATTTATTTATTTATTTTATTTTTTTTTTTTTTTGCTATTAGAGTCTATCTTATGAATTCTTATTTTCGGAATAGTATTATATTTTTATACATTTAATGTACAGACTCTTGATTATCAGTTCCTAATGTTTTCATTAACGTTACATAAACTTTGGACCATTAATAATTTGCACGAATTTGCTCTAAATTCTAAAGCGAAAGAAGAGCTTGCGCATTTCTCATTGTAAATTGAAAACTTAAAGGTATTTCACCTTACACAGAGACGTCATGAAAACTGGTGATACAAAGACATGGGGCCACAGGAAAGTGTTGAAACAGAGACTTGTTGAAAATTGGTAGACCAAAAGTCTCGACTTTTTAATTAGATAATAAGCCAAGCTTGTGTGCATAAATGAAACATTTTATAGGAAATTTGAAACGTGTTACTCCTCAAACATTGCAACAAAATTTCGCTCAGCGCTTTCGAATATTTTAGGCTGCACAGACAAACTACTATTCATTATTCGGTATACACAATATGTCTTTCATACTAAATCGTTGATGCTCTAAAACTTCAGAATTAACTTTTTCCCATACTTCTAACAGTTTTTAATGCAGGATCGCTATATTCTGAAAGCCTTTAACAAGGATGCGACGATTATTATATTCTCTTTTAAAGCTAGTTCACTATAGCTAGAGCTTTACTATAGCTTACTCACTTTGTAAGGTACTCCATTATACCTTATCGCTGTAGATAGGTATAATGGAGTACCTTACAAAGTGAGTTCAAAGTGAGTTCGTCAGGTATTTAGAGAAAAACGGATTTTGCTCTTAATTCTATATAACCTGTGGAAACTTAATATGACTCTCATTTTATTTTATACATGACCTAATACGACCTTCACTTTTATATTTATTATCGTTTAATACGCTGTTATGTTTAATAGTTAAATAATAAAAATAGTTGTAAAGATCTGGCGATTTTCTTTGTAAAAAGTTATATTCACATGTACTGGGCAAACGGATTGCTTAAGACGAAATTTTTATAAGAATTGACGGAACAAATGCTTCATATTTATTCTATAGGTTATCGGACAAAACGTTGTCAAAACAGGAAACTGAAAACCAGAAATCAAAGTAAATTGCAGCTATTTAAGATAATTAGGAAGGAATAAGCTAATTTACAAGTTTTACAGTTTTAAACATTAATCAATTAGAACAATAAATATTACATGAACGTAAAATCAAAATGTCTAAGTTTTATTATATAGACAATAGAGGTTTAGTTAAGTTAGTTTGTCGATTAAATAGTCCTTTCTGAGAATAAAAGAAAAATGGTGTCTATTAAAATTTTTAGTTTTTAAAAGTTAGTCTTCTGGATATCCATTTGTCACCCTCTTTAGATTTCTTGTTTTAGGGACATGTGAAGGGTCATGAGTTTATGCCTCCAAAAACAAAAACCATAAACGAATTTTAAAACGCATTTCTGCTAATTTAGAAACAGTTACTAATGACACATCAACACTCTCTAACACACTTTTTAACAGTTACCGCTGATATATTGACATTTTGGATTTAGAAGCAGTTATCATTGATACATTAACACCGTGGATTTAGAAATAGTTATCTTTAGTACATTAACATACTGGATACAGAAACTGTTACCACTGACAGAGTGACACACTGTCAGTAGAATAGGTAAGAACAGCGAATCTTCAAAACGCAGATGTCGAAAACTAGAAAATGCGTATTTCAATATGTATAATTAAATTTTCCAATGAATTATGTTTTAAAGCATTGAAACATTTAAAGCACACGTTGCTAATATAAACAATGACTGATAACAAATGAATTTCATTATATTTTAACATTATAATAGCATCCTTCTCTTATTTTTATTTACTGTTAGAGAACAGTCGAAAATTAGTCTTTTATTCTCACGCTGCTATTCACGTTCTTATTAAAGATATTCATTTTTTATTTCTTTAAACATCTAGACAAATATTTTCCAAAAATGTTTATATCCAACAAATAAAGATTCAGTTTGAATTCAGAATGAATTAAGATTTTTCATTCTAACACATTTGCAAAAATCATGAATTTCTAAGATATCTTTCACATTTTACGTTTAAACGTAATCTCTGCATTATTATGTTTTTTTCATAACCCGAAAATTGTTTTCACTATGTATTAACAACTTTCTATTACTTTGCCTTGAAAGTCAGATTATTTCCTCCATTTAAATTAAATTTCATGAAACTGAAACGCCAAAGAAATCTTCATCTTTCTCCGTAAATATTTATCCTCTTAGAGTGCTATAAATGTTCCTTTCTTCAGAAAGTGACGCTTGGGCTTTAATACGCTTAGTGCCGCTTGACTTTGGTGAAAGGATTAACTCTCCTAAACCATCAGTTTCAAAGGTTTAGAAACACATGCAATATTTTTAACTATTTCGCAACCAGGTTTATTGACTTCATGAATCCTTTTGATTGCCATTCCAAGCAAGTAAATAATTTCATCAAAGGAAATTGCTCCGTTGCTTGAAATAACCCTATTAATAATGGATTGGAAAGTAACAGCGATTTATATTTACATCGTAAATATTTAGATCTTTTGAGGTCTTAATTTTAAGGCAATTTCTGAAAGAGACTCCACACACTTAAATATGCATTTCCTTGATGGGTAATTATTTTAGTATATTCTGTTCTATAGAATTCATCTTCAGTGTTTCAGTCAGAGCAGAAACGAAGAAAGAATTCATTTAATGTGTTTACGAAAGAATGGTTCCGGCATAGATCACTTAGTTGTAAAATTAGCAGCGAGCTTGAAACATTTTTCGAAAGTACAGGATGTTCGAATAAAAGTGGACTCTACATGTTAAAAGTATATAATTTTATTTGCAGTGGCTTCCGATTTCTGTGATCACCAATGGCTGACGGTAAAATTAGTAGTTTGGAGATTCAAATCCCGGAGAATAGGCTTACTGCTTAAGAGTTTTCATAAATTTTCCACGTGTAACGCCAATGCGAATGAATTCTTTTTTAAAACGCCCTCCACGATAGTATAGAGTAGATCGGGATAGATCTAGAGTGCTTTGTCATACACTAAATATTCCAAATTCGATGTCCCACGTAATTCCATTACATGCTGGTGGTTTTGATAAACTAATTTTTAAGGGGTAAAATAAATTCTTCAAAACCAGAAAGGAGTTTGATGAATATTTTGTACAGAACAGTCTTTTAATATGCGTATCATATCTCTAATATTTGTTTTCTGAATATTTCATTCAAGGCAGCATTTGAATTTTTTTTATTTCTAGCGAATTATTTTACAAATGAGTCATAATTTCATTAAAGTAGCTACATCATTACCAAAATTATCACACAGGGAGCTTTATAAACTTATAGCTGTGCATCAAGTTTCCTATGCATCTTGCGAAATCTGCTATTTGGTCTGCCACATCAAGATGACAGAATATTGTTCTCTGGTTCATTGAAATAAACAAATTTTAAGACCTACAAAAATACTGTGCTTCAGTTCACTGTTTTATTATAAGCGAATTAATATCACTCCTGGATGATGCAAAATAACGGAAAATGTGTTCTCCAGTTCTTACCAGTTCAGACTGCCTTTAAACAGACTTTGTTGGTGACATACATAGACCAAGATAAAGTTAAAAATAAAACTTTCGTTGCCACCAAAAGCATAGAAATGGAAAATAGAGTGACAGTAAAGCATTGGGATAAATACAAGATAAACGCAAGAACAGTTCTCGGTTTCCAAAGGCTATGAGACTTTAATACTTAAAGAACAATCAATTTTATGGTGGTATTGGTTTGAACCATAAATAGTATAGGATGTGTGTGTCACTTGATATTCAGGAAATACCTACAGGAAATCCATATATCTGCTTTAAACTAAACATTTCCACAGTACTTATATATGTAAGTTAAAAAACAAGTGAATCCAAATTATAATTTAATCTAACGGTAAATCTTTAATTCTTCCTCTCGGTTTTAAAAATATTAATAACTTCTCTCGATTGCGTCATTCCTAGATCATTCTTTTTTGCACGGCCTGCGCAGCGCTGATGACGTAATAATTGTGAACTGAAACTTTTCACTTAAACCAAAACCTTTTTCTCCGTGTCCTTCCATCTTGCATAGCTACACAATTCAGCTTTTGCCTCTGTGCTACATGGACGCTGTTTCCTTCTGCTTTGTACCTATTGCAATAATCAAAAATGTAAATGTTCTTGAATAGGTACAATTAGAGTGCCAAGTGATTGTAGCTACAGATGTCAACTGGAAAATAAAAATAGAATTAAAACCGCCTCGACTGCCAAGTTCTTTAGATATTACCAAGTCAACATTATTAGCATACTACGCAATCAGAATTCTTCCTCTTCAATATGGATCTAAGTACGCATCAACAGTGCTCCGTCTTTTCCTTCCTATTATGACATATATATGTACATAATAAGCAGTTTATGAGGAAATTGTTATATTAATCGAATGTAAATCATGAATTTAGGGACAGAAACATTAATTTGAAGCCAAATTACGTTACGTTTTAATGCTATTCAGTTCAGTTTCACATTACTACTTTGCTTCAGGTACATTATCATCTCGAAGGAAATATGCCTTTCGCGCTGCACTGACTGACTGAAACTTTCTTAAGAGTATAAGTGAAAAACATCTTAAGTCAGGGACAATTCGGTAATAAGTTTGAAAATTTTCTATACATGTACACATAAATTACCATATATATATTCGTTGTCTGCCTTTAATATATATTTCTTTTAATTTATTTCTCAATGTGTTATAAAGTATTTCTCCCACCTTCCTAGCGTGCCTTCGTGGTGTAGTGGTTCTGCACTCTGGGCTGGTATTCCAGAGGTCTG